AAGTAGCAGCAGGACAGCCAGATGCTAAAAGTATCAAAACGGTTGTGAGTAAATAAAAGTACCAAAAGTTTAGTTAATATTAAAAACTAGCAAACATAAAGCTGAATAAGAAAAATGCTTTCTACAAGTAGCTAAAGGCTAGCTTGCAGTCAAGTAGCAACAGGACAGCTAGAAGCTAAGCGTAGTTAAGGTTAGCTAAAAGAATCATAATGCTAGTTAACAGGTGAAAGTGGCTAAAGGTTAGCTAAAAGCTAAACAGAAGGTGTCTGCTGGAGCCAACTAAATGTTTATTTTATTTCAGCTGATGTTTAAGTTCTTTAAAGTTCTGACGMGAGGCTGTTTTCTGTTCCAGGCTCGCCCCGCGGCGTCAGAGAGAACCCAGGTTCTGGTTCTGGGTCTGGACGGATCCGGTAAGACCAGTCTGCTGCACTGTTTCTCCGGCAGCGGTCTGGAGCAGGAAGTGGCGCCGACGCGGGGCTTCAACGCCGTCTCCATCAGCCGAGACGACCTGAACGTGGAGTTTCTGGAAAGTGGGTCCGGTTCTGGTTCAGTCGGTCGGTTCTGGTCCCTGTAGAACCGAAGCTGGTCTTTACCTGGTTTCTTTGTGTTTCAGTCGGCGGTCAGGAGGACCTGCGGCCCTTCTGGCAGCGCTACCTGTCCAAAGCTCTGCTGCTGGTCTTCGTGGTCGACTCGTCCGACCCGAAACGTTTCCCGGAGGCCAAGAAGCATTTACAGCAGCTGCTGACCTTTGACCCCCGCCTGCCCCTCATGGTTCTGGTCAACAAACAGGTAAAAGTTCTTCTTCGAAACACAGAAACGAGGTGAACGCAGACTGAAGAGACCCGGCTTCATCCGGACCCGTCTTCTGGTTCCAGGACCTCCCGGGCTCCTGCGGCATCACGGACCTCTACGACGCCCTGTCCCTGTCCGAGGTCGGGGACAGGAAGCTCTTCCTGATCGGGTCGCACGTGAGGAAAGGGGAGGCGGAGCTGAGCTCGGGCGTTCGGGACGCCCGGGACATGATCGTCCAGATGGTCCGCGACGGCAGATGAGACGGATAAATCATCGGTTCTGATCCGATCTTATTATTTCACCACGCCGCCGCTACTTTGAAACAACTTTATTTGTTCAAACAGAACGATTTTTGTTTTTTGACAGTTTCATTTCAGCACCAAAATGTTACATTTTCAGCTTTAAAG